AAGAACTACATGTATATTTAGCAGTTTGTGTACTCATTAATAGCCCCCGGAAGAGGGCTCATTGCATTGTCATAGGTAAAGATATGTCTTTTTTTAATGTTTATTTATTTTTGAGAGAGAGAGAGTGCAAGTGGAAGAGGGGCAGAGAGACAGGGAGACACAAAATCTGAAGCGGGCTCCAGGCTCTCAGCTGTCAGAACAGAGCCCAACATGGGGCTTGAACCCACAAACTGAGATCATGACCTGAGCTGAAGTCAGATGCTTAACCGACTGAGCTACCCAGGCATCCTGATAAAGGTATGTCTTGTGACTGCTCATTTATCTTTATTACTTATTACTATCTTATACAGTGGATCACACCTATAATTTCTGAGTAGAATCTTTTTTCATCATCTTTGTACTTTTTTTTTTAACGTTTGTTTATTTTTTAGTGAGAGTGAGTGTGAACAGGGGAGGGGCAGAAAAAGGGGGAACAGAGGATCCAAGCAGCCTCTGTGCTGACAGCAGAGAGCCCGATGCCCTAAGACTTGGACACCCCACCAGCCCCACACTTGCCGTCTGTCTTCCTGAGGCACAGTGAGAGATGAGCCACTGCTTCTGATGGGACGGCCTCTGAGGAGTTGAAACCGTCAACAGGTGGCTGTGCTCTGACAGGAGCAGCAGAAGACCATGGTGGCATCAAGACACAAGAGCTTTATAAAACGTGTGAGCCCCAGCCGAGGTCAGGGCTGCTGCAGCTGACCTGACATTTACCCTATTTGGATGACCTGTTGAGAACAGACTCCACTTCTCAGGTTATTCCCCAACCTAAAAGGAGCTAGCAGCCCAGGGCAGCTAGAGAAGAAGGCCTAACTGTTCTTTCCTTCAGTCAAAAAATATTTATTGAGCTCTCTTTGTGTTGGGACCAACAATGCATCCATCAGTCAGACCCTGAGTGCCGTGACTCTAAAGGTATCTTGGTACACCCTGAGAGGAAAGCTGTCAGAGCATCTCTTCTCTCTTCAGAATGCCCAATACATCAAGGGCTCTTTGCCCTTGTAAAATACCTGGTTCCTAAGGGTTGAATCGCACAGAAAGATTAGAGGGGGGGTTAATTACTCCAGTCCTGAGTGCATCCCACTACAATGATTTTTAATTAGCCAACCC